CTCCCAGGAGCAGAGATTGTCCCCACCCACAGGAAGGGTTTTAGCTGTGGGTCTTTGTGCCCAAGATTACTGGGAACCCCACTGGGGACCAAATGGGAATTTGTTTGGCCATGCCAAAGTGAGTTTTCTCTAATTAAGCCTATTCCTTCTAGGATAGTCAAATCATAAATTCAAGGATTTTGTGATTATCAAAGTCATTTTTAATAACAAGCAGCAATGAACAGCATAGTTTGAAGCACACTCTCTTTCTCCCTCTATTTTTTCTGTTTTTAAGGCAAGGAGGGAAAATAACAAATCCATAGTGGCTAAAGCAATTTCTACATTCGATTTTTGTAGTTGAATATACAGTGAATAGTCCACAGGGAACCTCAGAATGTGACCTTGTTTAGAAATAGGGTCTTTACATAAGTCATTAGATCAAGATGAGATCTTACTGGATGGGGTAGGCCCTAAATTCAATGAGTGTGTCTTATCAGAAGAAAGAACACTGAGAGGCACAAAGACTCGCAAAAAGAAGGCCTTGTGAAGACAGAGACAGGAAGGGAGAATCCCGGGGAATGAAAATGACCGAGTTGAACTGTCAGATCAAGTGCATGCATGAATAATGTGGCAACAAATCTCATGATTGTGTGTAATTATAATGTACCAAGAAGAACATAAGAAGAATAAAAGACAGGCAGAGACAAGAGTGATACTCTGAGGGTCAAGGTCTGCCTGGGGCTTCAAGGCTCAAAGAAGCAAGGGAGTCTCCTTCCCTAGAGTCTTGGAAGACTCGTGGTCCTGACAGACCTGAATTTCAACTTCTGACCTCAAAAACTGTGAGTGAATACCTTTCTCTTATTCTAAGGTGCCCAGAGTTGGTGCTTTGTTATGGAAGACCTAGGAAAATGAGAGACAAGTGCTGATAAAGCCTGTAGGTGCTTCATTCCTGCTCTTAACAATAACAATAGCTGGCTGAGAATTTGCAATATTCTGGGCAGTGTGCTAAGCCCTGTCATGGCG